CTCTCTCTCTCTCTCTCTCTCTCTCTCCTTAAAAAGCCATTTTCTAACCTTAAAAAGGTGCAACTCACAATGAAATACCCTTTTCTAACCTTAGAGAGGTGTTTGGTTATGTGGCCATCTCTAGCAACTCGCCAATGCTTAACAATCCTCCCATTCACTCCATATAAAGCCTTTATTAATTACAAGAGGCTTGAAGCCATACATATTACATAGGTCTCACGAGAAATGCTTGCTCTCTCACAAAGCTACTCCCTATATAAATTGAATCATGAATCCCAACCCAAAAGTGGCTGCATCCTATCCATAAACGGATACAACTCCATCTCACGGGCTATTCTTTCATTGACACAACGATCCACCACTACGCATAAATGCAAATTTATTCATTTACTCATCCCCTTGGACATATATATTGCAACCCACCATCAACGACATGGTCATAAAATTATCAAAGCCAGTCTCATCAAGCGAAATGGGGAACTTGATGAGAGAATTAGGGTTGTGGGTTGTAGCCGCGTCCTTCTTATGGTTAACAGCGAAAGGTTACACACAAGTTGACAGACAAGTTCCTTGTTTCTTCATTTTTGGCGACTCTTTGGTTGACAACGGAAACAATAATCGGCTTGTCACGCTTGCTAGAGCCAACTATCGACCGTATGGCATCGATTTCCCTCTGGGTGCCAGTGGCCGGTTTACAAATGGCAGAACCTTCGTTGATGCATTGGGTAAGTATGCCTGTCACTCCCAGCTGTAATATTCTACTACAGCCTCTAGGATTTGGGGTTGTGTATAAGTTAGTTTGTTGTTTTAAAAAGAAGTAATATCCGTGGTATATTCTTTAAGATGCATTCAAAATCATGATATCAAAAGATATGGCTTTGTTGCAGCTCAACTTCTAGGATTTCGAACCAACATCCCGCCCTATGCAAGAACGCGTGGTCGTGCAATACTTGAAGGACTGAATTTCGCATCTGGAGCTGCTGGTATCCGTGAAGAAACCGGAAATAATCTTGTAATTAATTAAGCCACATTCTTTTGCATTCACATTTTCGTTTAAATTTAAAAAACAAACGGTATACGCTTTAATAAACTTATGAACAAATTTTGAACTATATATACGTGAATATATATGTATATATTATAGGGAGATCATATCTCAATGAACCAGCAAGTACGCAACTTTGGGAGCACAGTGCAACAGATGGGGCGTTACTTCAGGGGGGATGTTAATGCTGTGGGAAGTTACCTCGGCAAATGTATTTTCTACTCTGGAATGGGAAGTAATGACTATCTCAATAACTACTTCATGCATGATTTCTACAATACTGGATCACAGTTCACCGCACAAGCTTATGCAGATGCACTCATTCATGATTATTCTGTTCAGCTTTCAGTAAGTATTTTCTGCATGCTGTTTACAAAAGTACCACTCCGATCGATCCCATCATTACAAACTCAATTTACTCAGATTCCTATTACATTAATTCTATCACATACATTAATACACGGTTAAACTATTCTCAGGCTTTGTACAATTTGGGTGCACGTAAAGTGATAGTAACTGCTGTTGGGCAAGTTGGATGTATACCATATCAGCTAGCCAGGTATAATGGTACCAACAACAGGTGCAATGAAGACATAAACAATGCTATCCTATTATTTAATTCAGGCCTAAGAAAACTTGTAGATCGCTTCAATAAGGGTGAGCTTCAAGGAGCAAAGTTTGTGTTCTTGGATTCATATCAAGCCACTAAAGATCTTATACTCAATGCTCAATCATATGGTACCCCTCCAAACATTCTACTCTTTTCCACAATTGATGATTAGAATCTGATTCCATGAGCAATATTGCATTTAAAAAGATGACTAAACACTTTTTTTTTTTTTAAATATTGTACATAATTTAGGATTCGATGTAGTTGATAAGGGATGTTGTGGAGTTGGAAGAAACAATGGGCAGGTGACATGTCTTCCTCTTCAACAAACTTGTAGGGACCGCTCAAAGTACATATTCTGGGATGCCTTTCATCCGACTGAAGCTGCAAATATCGTGACTGCAAAATTATCGTACTCATCAAAATCCTGCACTTATCCCATTAATATTCAACAACTGGCATCACTGTGATGATCTTCAAATTTTATTTCTTACAGAAGTTGAATGCCTTAATCCAATGTTGGTCTCGTTCAAACATGTACTCCTATTTCCAGTTTGAAATTTCAAGTGTGATGACTTTCATCTAGTTATTTAAACAGAATCGTTTCCACTATTACAGCTATACCAAAAAAACATGCATTTTGAAAAAGGCCATCGTTTAATTGTCAAAATACACTACAAAAAATAGAGATTCTTGTTAATAGCCGTTACAACTTGGAAGTTGCTACTGGCAGTTACAAGATGGGAGTTGATGTTGTTATTTTTCCAAGAGTT